CTGGTTGGGTCCTAAAGGACATAACTGCTAGAATGGGTCTGTGGCAGGTGGTGAGGGAGCCAACAAGGGAAAAACATACTTGACCTCTTCCTTACCAATCTACCATCTGCAGTTACATCTGTCCATGATAGTATTGGTAAGAGTGATCATCGCACAGTCCTTGTGGAGATGAAGTCCTGTCTTCACATTGAGAATAATTTCCATCATGTTGTGTGGTGCTACCACCATGCTAAATGGGACAGACTTTGCACAGATCTAGCAACTCGAGACTGGGCATCCATGAGGTGCTATGGGTCATCAATAGCAGCAGAACTGTACTCCAGCACAATCTGTAACCTCGTGGCCCGGGATATCCCCCACTCAACCATTGCCATCAAGCTAGAGGATCAACCCTGGTTCAATGGGGAGTGCAGGAGGGCATGCCAGGAGTACCACCAGGCATACCTGAAGATGAAATATCAACCTGGTGAAGCCACCAAACAGGACTACTTGCATGCCAAACAGCGAAAGCGGCATGTGACAGATAGAGCTAAGTGATCCTACAACAATGGATCCGATCTAAGCTCTGGGTCCTGCCACACCCAGTCATGAACGGTGGTGGACAATTAAACAACTCATTGAAGGAGGAGGCTCCACAAATATCCTCATCCTCCATGATGAAAGAGTCCAGCATATCAGTGCAAAAGATAAGGCTGAAGCATTTGCTGCAATCTTCACCAGAAGTGTCAAGTGGATGATCCATCTCTGCCTCCTCCACTGGTCCCCAGCATTACAGATACCAGTCTTCAAATTCGATTCATTCCACGTGATATCAAGAAACGGTTGGTGACACTGGATGCTGCCCTGACAACATTCTGGCAATAGTACTAAAGACTTGTGCTCCAGAACTTGTCGCTCCCCTAGCCAAGCAGTTCCAGTACAGTTACAACACTGTTATCTACCCAGCAATGTGGAAAATTGCCTAAATATGTCCTGTACACACAAAGCAGGACAAATCCAACCTGGCCAATTACCGCCCCATTAGTCCACTGTAAATTATCAGTGAAGTGATAGAAGGTGTCATCAACAGTGTTATCAACCAGTACCTGCTCAGTGACGCCCAGTTTGGGTTCTGCCAGGGCCACTGAGCTCCTGACTACGTTACAGCTTTGGTTCAAACCTGGACAAAAGAGCTGAATTCCAGAGGTGAGGTGAGAGTGAAAGCCCTTGACATCAAGGCTGCATTTGACAGAGTGTGGCATCAAGGAGCCCTAGCAAAACTGGAATCAATGGGTATCAGGGGACAAACGCTCTGGTGGTTGGAGTCATACCTGACACATAGGAAGATGGTCATGGTTGTTGGAGGTCAATCATTCTCAGCTCCAAGACATCTCCGCAGGAGTTCATCAGGCTATTGACCTTGGCCCAACCATCTTCAGCTGCTTCATCAGTGACCTTCCCTCCATCATAATGTCAGAAGTGGGGATGTTTGCTGATGATTGCACAATGTTCAGCACCATTCTTGACTCCTCAGATACTGCAGCAGTCCGTGTCCAGATCTTGGGGCTGACATGTGGCAAGTGACATTCATACATCACACGTGCCAGCCTATGACCATCACCAATAAGAAACCATCTAACCACCACACCTTGATATTCAAGGTGTTACCATCACTGAATCCTTCACTATCAACATTCTGGGGGTATCATTGACCAGAAACTCAACTGGACTCACTACATAAACAGAGTAGCTACAAGAGCAGGTCAGAAGTTAAGAATACTGCGGCGAGTAACTCCCCTCCTAACTCAAAGCCTGTCCACCATCTACAAGGCACACGTCAAAAGTGTGATGGAATATTCCCCACTTGCCAGGATGAGTACAGCCCCAACAACAGTTGACATCATCCAGGACAAAGCAGCCCGCTTGATTGGCACTGCATCCACTCCCTCCACCACCGCTTAGTAGCAGCAGTGTGTATTGCCCACAGTATGCACTGCAGAAATTCACCAAAGATACTCCGACAGCCTCTTCCAAACCCACGACCACTTCCATCTAGAAGGACGAGGGCAGCAGACATATTGGAACACCACCACCTCCAAATTCCCCTCCAAGCCACTCACCATCCTGACTTGGAAATATATCGCTGTTCCATCACTGTTGCTGGGTCAAAATCCTGGAATTCCCTCCCTAATGGCATTGTGGGTCAACCTACGCAGGTGGACTGTAGCGGTTCAAGAAGGCAGCTCACCACCTTCTCGAGGACTAATGCGGACGGGCAAGAAATGCTGGCCCAGCCGGCGATGCCCACATCCCACAAATGAACAGAAAAAAAGAGAAATGCGTGGCAGATACTGAGGGCTCAATTCAGCAGAGACCCTAGAGAGTATGAAAATGCAGGGGAGCATTTGAAAAGAAAACTAGGTAAGGAAAGCATGTGCATGAGTAAGCATTGGCAGGATAGGAGGACTGTGAAATATCAAAAGTAAGTGATAAAAAGAGAGCAGATTTACAAGTGGGTTTAGCAGCTTTAAAAGTGGATAAATCTGCAAGCCTGCATGACACATGTCTCTCAGACCAAGGGAAGCAAGGGAGGCGATACTAGGAGCCCTGGCAATAATTTTCTAATCCTTTCTAGTTCAAGGTGATGTGCCAGAGGATTGCTTACTTGGCTGCGTTATATAAAAAAAAATGGAGGAAGGTTTAGGCCAGAAAATTACATGCCGGTCAGTCTAACCTCTGTATTGAGGAATTTATTAGAATTCTGTGGGACACAATATTTCTGCCCTTGGAGAGAGATGGATTAATCAGGGATAGTCAGCATGGATCGGTTCAGAGAGGGTGATATTTGACAAATCTGATCAAACCTTTTGAGGTGGTAACCAGAAGTGTTGATGAAAGCAATGTATTTGATGTTGTTTACATGGACATTAGCATTTGATAATTTCTCTAAGTCTGTCGTGAGACCGTAAGAGCCCGGGGTGGTGAACAGTGAGGAGGATAGCTGTAAATTGCAGGAGGATATCAGTGGTTTGGTCAACTAGGCAGAGCAGCGACAAATGAAGCTTGACACGGAAAGGTAAGCGGTCACGCACTTGATGCGGGCTAGCCAGCCAAGGGATGAAACTGAAAGGATCCTGGAAAGTACTGAAGACCAGAGGAACCTTGTGTCTACCCACAGATCTCTCTTTATCCTCCTGCAGGGAGGTGGATAAAGAAGACATCTGGGAAACTTGCCTTTTATTAACTGCAACATTAGCCAGCAAGAGTAGGGAGGTTATGCTGCATTTATATAAAGCACTGGTTAAGTCACAATTGGCATACTGCATGCAGTTCTGCTCACTGTTAAAGGAAAGATGTGAATGCACAAGACAGAACATAAGAAATAGGGCAGGAGGAGGACATTTGGCTCCTCAAGCCTGCCCTGCTATCCAAAAAGATCATGGCTGATCTGCTGCAGGCCTCAACTCTTTTGTGCCAGCTCAGCATAGATATTAACCCACTGATATTTCAAAAATCTATTTACTTCGTCTTTAAGTACTTTCAGTGAACTAGCCTTCACAACTCTTGGGGTTACAAGATTCCAGGCATTCACTGCCCTCTGGGAGAAGAAATTCCCTTACGTATTCAATTTTAACTGAATGTCCCTTATTCCTCGACTCAGCCCCTTAGTTTGAGATTTCTCTACTAGTGGAAACGTCGACTTAACATGTACCCTGTCAAGTCCCCTCAGACTGTTAAGTGTTTCATTAAGATCACTCCTGATTCTTGCAAAATGTAATGAATAACTGCCTAACCTGTTTAGCTGTTCTTGATAAGTCACCCCTTGAATCCCCAAGAATCAGCCTAGTAAATCTCTTCGAACAGTTTCCAAAGCCAGTATATTGTTTTATTTAAATACAGAGTGAGCAGAGGAGAGTTATCAGGTTGTGGTCTGGGATGGAAAGCCTGACCTACGAGGGATGATTTGATTGCCTGGCCTGTTTTCCTGAGCAGCGAGGGTTGAAAGGGAACCTGATAGGTGTATAAGATTGGGTATGGATAGGGTGGACAGGAAAACACTTTTCCATTAGTAGAGGAGTCACTAACCAAGGGGCTTAGATTTAAGCTAAGCGGTAGAAAGCTAAGATTTGAGAAATTTTGTCAGGGTGGTGGAAGTCTGGACCTCAATGCCTGAAAGGGTGGTTGAGTCAAACACTCGTAATGTTTCCAGAGTATTTAGTGGTAGCCTATCAGCCCCAGGTAAATGGGCCAACTGAGGGACTTTGTTTGGAGAGGTTTTTAAAGTTAAGAAAGTGTTTTGCAGGGTAAATCTAGAGAGCATCTTAACACTAATGGGAGAGACCATAGCTAGGGGACATAATTTAATCCAGTAGGAATTTAAAATAAACTAGTATTCACCTTGAAACCACTTTCTTTATAACATGGTAGTACAATTAGCAATTGAGGTAAATTGTATAGATGCATTCAGAGAAGCTGGAATAACACATGAGGAAGGAAATGTTGATGGTGTTAGATGAAGGGTGGAAGTGGGCTCATGTGGAACCTAAAAACACTGGCATCAAGTTATTGACCCGAATGGCCTGTTTCTTGAAAGTTCATTTCCTATAAGCTGCTATAATACTAAGCAAGGGCTGAGTTTGCATGACTCTCATGAGTCACTAGTTTATCTTTTGCAGCATGTTGTTGTTGGCCCTACTCTGTGCAAATTGTAGGAGATGTATATTTACTACTGGCATCTCTGGAAAATTTATGAACAAGAAAGTTCATGCACTTGGAAAAAATGTAGAGTTTCCACTCAGTCAGAAATATTGCATGCATGCTTATGGTATTGTATGGAAAGCTGATGTGTCAGAATGTCATAACTCTGCAAATTGAGAATTTTTTTCAGATGGAGAGTAACCTAATACATGCTTAAGTGATGCATTGTGTTTGATTTGGAAAACAGTGTTCCCCTTTTGTCATTTTGTTTGTGTTAACTGTTAGTTGACATTTATCAGTTCTACTTTCTGTTTCCTTTCCAGGTTATCCAGCAGGTTATCCGACCACTGCTCCTGCCTATACTGCTAATATGTATGCCAGTGGCAGTCCTGGATATCCTCCAGGTAGGCTTTTAAAGTTTATTTTATTTGAGCTTAATGTATTTTTAAATTGATCAAAATGGATCCTTGTGAATTATATATCTACATAATGGATTATAATTTCATGACTACTTATTACTTAGCGTATACAGCTATTTTCTGTTGGACAGAAACTGGTATTTAGGTTTTAAGTTGGATTCATAGAATAGGAAACGGATAAAGATTTTGGGATGGCAGGGAAAGTAGGAATCCTATGTTAGTAAAACTGAGGGAAGAGGGAAAAACATTTGTTTTAATACTGAAATTGCTGTGGCAAAGATTCCTGAGCCAAAAGATACAGCAAACATCCGGGAATATTTCAAGCTTTGGATTCAATTTCTGTAAGTCTTTACCTTTTCAGTTCTCAAAAGAATACAATGGAAGTTACGAAACAGGCAAACTAATATTACCTTCGTCCAAAAAGTTAGTTGTTTAACCATGACGTCATCTACTTTAGATCTGGGAGAACATTTCCTTCTGCTGTGTAAAATGGAATGTCAAAGGAATTGCTCACTGCATGTTTGTAATCTTTAATTTGTCTCCCTTATTAGTTTCTACGTGTTAAATCACATTTTCCCAGTACCAGCACAGAATCTATATAGTGGCTCAAGCAGAAATGTTTACATGCCAGAACCATAAGCATTAGTCTCTATTGGTTTAATTTCCCCATCTGATGCTAAGGGCCACAGTGACCAGTTTGAAAACTATAGAAAGATCTGGGATTTAGGAGGAGTTGCCATAGGTTTCATAGGATTCAGATATCATTTTATAATCTTATCAGATTGTCATTACAAGCATGTTGAATTTATTCATATTAATAAAGTGAATGTTAGCTGAGGCTCAATAGCATTCTCAGTTGTGAGTTGCAAGGTTTTGGCTTCGAGTCCAACTCAGTGTTAAAATCGAGGCTGACGCTGTATTGCAGTACTGAAGGAGTCCTGGATTGTCAGAGCTGCCATCTTTTGGATTAATGGTTACACTGAGACAAAATCTAACTGCAAGTACAAATGTAAAAGATCTCATTGCACTATTCAAAGATGAGCAAGGATGAGATAAGGAAAGGAGAGTAATCTCCGGTGTCTCTTGGGCAATATTATTCCTAAATAAACATATCAAAAAATCTGGTCACACTCACATTGCTGTTTGTGGTAATTTGCTGTGCACATGTTGGCTGCTGCACCTATGTTACAACAGTGATTATGCTTCAAAACCACTTCATTGGCTGTGCACTGCTTTGAAACATTCAGTGCTTGTGAAAAGCGTGGTACAAATAAAACTCTTCCTTTTCTTTCAAGCTATTTGCAGTGCTCGTTATGCTTCATTTTAGGCTTTGAGTTCTGTTTTAGAAAAAATGTTTTATAGTGTAATAATTTATAAAGGGTTGCTCACGAGAGGTCTAAGAATATATTTAATGTTTAGTTTTATTTTAAAATTCGTGTAAATATTATGAGGTATTTCTAAGGAATAATGATTAAAGCAAAGTATTTAAAATACTTCATCATGGTTCATTTGTTACAGATGGGAGTAATTTTAAAAACTTTTTAAAAATTACCTTCCACTGTGGTAGATAGAAAATTCCAATGTAGTTAACTGTACATGAAATTCCTACCTGGTTTACTGTATTCCTGATGGAAATCCAGACTTTTAAGTGTGCCTCTGCATCTGAGTTGGAATCTCCTGCAATTTAAAAAAAAGTCTGTCAAATATCTGACACCATGGTTACGTTCTTTTTATTTGAAGGTCCCCTGAAGGAGGAGAAAACCTTAAGTGCTTTGATAGATGTGATAGCAGTATTCTAGACAGAAGGAAGTTGAGAAGACTTTTGTTCTTGGATCCTTGCATACCACATTGTCTTCAGTCCGATATTTGCAAGATTGAACCATTGCTTTCATTCTCCACCCAAATCTTTTCTTTAACTACCAATTCCTATTTCATCTCTGCAGCATCACCAACTTTATTGCTGTCTCAGTTCATCTACTGAATGCCTTTCTTTCCTCTAGACTCCATATTCTAACAGATCCCTAACTGATCTCCCACATTTCTACGGTCTCCATAAACTTGAGGTGATCCAAAACTCTGCTGCCTGTATCTTAATCCATACCAAGACTCAATTTATCTGTCATCCCTGTGCTCACTGATGTACTGATCCTGGTCAAGCAAAATGTCTCTTTAAGAGCAACAGTGTATTATTTTTTTTGCCTATATCTCATGAACGAATAAAAAGAAGCCAATATTTAACTCCTTTAGCCCCAAGGCTGTTCACAAAAGTATTGTAAAATCAAATTACACCAAGCCATATAAGGAGATGTTAGGTCAGAAAACCAAAAGCTTGATCAGAGGTAAGCTTCAAGAAGTGTGTTAAAGGAGAAAAATGAGTTAGGCAGAGATGTCAGGAGAGAATCTTTCCCCATACTTGCAGTTTTCAAGCCCTGGCAACATTTTTGTAAATCCCCTTTGTGTGCTCTCTAGAGCAGTCCTGTCCTCCCTGTAATGCGGTGATCAGATTTGTGTATACAACTGCAGTTGTGGCCTGATCAGTGTCTTGTATAGTTCCAGCATTATATCCTTACTGTTGTGTTCAACATCTCATTCAGTGAAGGAAAGCATCCTGTATACTGTCTTTACCATTTTATCTACCTGACCTGCTACCTCCAGGGACCTATGAGCATACACTCCAAGTCTTTCATTTTCTCTACCCCTCTTAATATTCTCTGTTTTTCTTTGTGTATTGCTTGTTTTAATTGCCATCCCAAAGTGGGTAACTCCCTGCCCAAGGTAGCATCATCAGAACTGTTGTAGTGGAGACAGAAACTCGGAGAATGGAATGGCATCATTACAGGAAGCAGGGTGTGAGAGTTTATAGTTTGGTTAATGGGTTTGTATTAGATATTGGTGGGTAGCCTATCCCAAGAAATAGAAGCAGATTTCAAGGAAGGGAGGAGTCAGATGGACCAGGTGAAGATGAGAGCAGGGTGGAAATTGGAAGCAAAATTAATAAATTTTTCAATTCCGAACAATGGGGAAAGCAGCACTAGTAATGTCATTGATGTACTGGAGGAAAAAGTTGTGGGGAGGGGCCAGAGTAGGATTGGAACAAAGAATATTCCGTGTGCCCCGCAAAGAAACGGGCATTCCTGGAGCCCATACTGGTACTCATGGCCACACCTTTGATCTGAAGAAAGTGAGGGGAGTCAGGAGAAGTTATTCAAAATGAGGACGAGTTTGGTCAGATGAAGGGTGGTGGTGGCAACAGGGGACAGTTCAGGTCTTCTCCGCAGAAGATGCGGAGAACCCTGAGACCGTCCTGATAGGGAATGATGTGTAAAGGGATTGCACGCCCGTGGTGAAGAGGAGGCGCTGGTGCCAATGAACTGGAAATTCTGAAACTGACAAAAGCGTCAGAAGAATTGTGAACATAAGTGGGAAGAGACGGGACAGGGGATAGAAAAGAAATCGAGCCACACTTTGTCTCCACAAATGCTGCCAGACCTGCTGAGTTTCTCCAGCAATTTGTTACTGTTTCAAATTTCTAAAATTCGCAGTTCTTTGTTTTAACCTAGCTGACCAGATGCTTCTAAATCAGTCTGCAGAACATGCTCATTTTCTTTGGTACAAAGGCATATTCTATTTGATTAACAGTTTAACCAATGCTTTTCCAGTCAGTGCTTAAGGACATTAGGACGTTCTGTAGAGATAATTCAAACCATTTTCGCCTTTACTAACACGTTGTGTGAAGCTAAACGAAAAACATCCAAATTTCTTGTGGCTATCAAATTTTAGCTTTTTAATTGGTTGCTGAATTGAATAATAAAATGAGAAGCTATTTTGTTGATACCAGGAGATAATTTATATGTATATGCTGTGTACTCATCCCGTTACAGAAGAAATAAGGAAATTTCCAGTAGGAGGTGCTCTTTTCCTACTTAAGTTGTGTTTATACTGTAACCTTTCAGTAGAACTGTTTGAGAGCTTTGGGCAGTAAAAGAAATGACTGACAGAGCTGCAGGAAGAAAATAGTAGCACTATTAAACTCTTGCTGATGAAAATTGTTTCCTGGGGAAGGTAATCTAAGTCCTCAGTTCTGAGGGGTCATAAATCATTGCACTGTTAAAAATGTTGAGAACAGCTTGTTTTGTAACACCCTTTTCTGTCTCTGTGCAAGCTTTATTCATGATGAGGCAGAGCTGGCCACAGACATCAACTTCTGGTGCCTCTGAGGGTACTTATGATCTCCCAGTCGATGCTGGCACTGAGAGCAGAACTTTCCAAGCTTCTTCTGCATCATTCAGTAAATAAAACACATTTTTCCCTTTTATACTGTAGAACTTGATTGAACTGATTCATTTTGTGAAGTACAATGTGCAGAAGAGTCCTGGGGAATAATGGGTCAGCCACTTAAGTTTTGACATCTGTTAAATATTTTCTGACACTGTCCAAAAGTCTTGTTTAAATTTGGGTTAGCAAAAGTAAGTTGTGGATGTCGTAATGAAGATGGAAAGTCACTCTTAGAGTATATAGGAAGGTAGGGTGAACTAATGATAAATTGGATGCTGAAACAAGTTAGTACTAGTAATGAATAATTGTCAAATTCATAGTTTTTTAAAATATTTCCAAAAAATTAAACTTGGTTGTTACAAAATAAAGGTTAGAACAAAATCCATTTTATGTTGACGAGATCATCAAAACACGTAAATCTAGTTTGTGCAATACTTGAGATGAGAGAGTAGTCAAATTTAAAAGCTATTGTTAAAAACCATAGAGGACAAATAATTCTGTATCCCTACAAGCTTTCCAAGGTGAAGATCTTGCCCTACCTTAGTTAGACCATGTCTCTTCTGCACATGTTAGAGATGAGTTTTTTTCATGTGGTAGACACATTATGTTTAAATGCAATCTTGAGGATGAAAATGACTAAGAATCTCAAACTACTTTCTGTGCTGTGATGTGCCTAACTGTAAATAGAATCATTGCTTTCTGAAGTAAACCCAGGGTAGAAAACGCAATTCAAGTCGTAACTTATTTTTTACCAAACTGAATTTTGTTTTCTACATTGAATTTTTATAATCATTGTACTGGAGATATTTATTATGTAAAATATATCAAACCACTTTACAGATGTTACAGTACTAATTGTAGAAAAGCCTTTATACTGTATGGTGTTAGAAAATGGGAACTTCAGAAAAAGTACTGAGCTCTGGCAGCAATCTACCACAATTGGTTTAAAAAAAAATTAAAGACTTGTTGACTGTTAACCTGCTTTGAATGAAAAGCATAGCTTACTATGATTTAATCTGTTAACTTTCATATACGTAACTCCCAGTCTATGTGACTAAACAAGCACTTTGTTATCGGCAAACTAGTACAATATTTGTTTACTGTTGTGCTCCAATATAATAGTGAGACCACAGCCAAATTTGCCTGTATGGCCTAAATTCCTGTTTACCAGCAATTGCAGAATTTGTTCTTTTCACCAATGTATGAGAAAGAAGCAGCAGGAAAAGAAGGAATTGCTGTTGAGTGCCAACAAAATTGTGAATTTATAAGTAAATCACCCATCAGTTCACATTCTTGAGTCCTTCATCAAAAGAAGAGCTGCTGTCCAGTTCAATATTTGTAAACGTACAATACAGATTTCACTGAAATGTGATATTTGTAAAACAAAAATTAGGCCCAGACTAATGTGTTAGAGATGGAATCTGAATTTATATCTAAACAATGTTAGTAGTTGGAAATGGGACTGCATTTGTTCCAAAGCGAGACTTATGCTAGTATCTTCATTACAATGCTCCCCTTCACCCAAACCTGGATCTTAAATCTTGGCCTGGTAAGAGATACTTGTATTGTTTATCATCTTCATTGTATTTTCCCCCCTTTCCTACCCCTGTTTTCCTTACCTCAAAAGACTCCTCCCCACTTCATATTGAAACAGCTCCACTGAACATAGCAGTTCACAGGAATCTCCTCAATATCAGAACACATCTGAGCTGCTGTTGGAGGAGTTCTCTCCCTATTATTTATAGAAAGTTTTTACAGTGTGAAAACATTCGAAAAATGGAAAGCTTCCAGTTTGAAGGGTCTATTTTTCTCATTTCTTTTCAGAAAACCTAGCTGGAGAAAGCAATTTATAATGTGTCTGATCTAAATTCCATTTTCCCTAATATAATGAAAATTGGGCAGGGCCAAATATTTTAAAATGATTGTAGATTATATTTGTGGACAGGTTGTACTGTACGCATGACTTTTTCCAAAAGGCTGGCCACGTCCAATTTCTCTACGTCAAGCAGGTAAGTCCTTTTTAAGAGGCAAGGCAATTTGCATTACCTAGTTAGTTGGGGTATGAATGTGCGTATGCATGCGAGAGAGTTTGGATATTTTCAACGTAAATTAGCAGATGGACTAGATGCTGAATTATGTTCGACCAGGGGAGTATAGTGACATTGAACCCAGTGTATAAGTTATGTACTGGGTGCAATACTCTTAAGTCTCACTGCAAGAGAAAAGATTGCATTCAAGCAGATTTACTGCAGGAAATAAGAATGGAAATATAAAGTAATGTAAAATATAAAGTATAGATTTATGCTGTAGGAGCTTGCAAGTTCTAGTGCACTTGCAAAGAAATTAACACAATTTTGACCTGGCAATTATTGACCAGTAGAAATGAGGAAAGCTCCTGGTGCATCTAATCTAGGGCTCTTTATTCTGATATGCAGCAACAGGAGGTAGCTTAAACCTGCAGTAACCTGGTTTCTGAGATACAGATGACAAATTTCTCTTCCCAAAACAGTAGTGGTTTTTCTAGTCCCCTATAATATCATGGTAATTTGTAATGCAGGATTTCACAACCAGGGTTTGTTTGTCAGTCTTCAGACAATTGTTAGGTTGAACTGTAATTAACAATCTTACTAGTACTCATTGCCAAACTTAAATGTTTTTTAGCTTAGTTCAGACTAGTAGCACTGAAGCATTTTGGGTCTAAGTGCCAAAATCATCGTGCACAGCTAATGGGATCAAAACCTATTTATATGTAATGGTAACAGATTATTTTTGTGGACTTTTTTGGTTGAAAAGCTCAACAGCATATCCACATGGTAGGCAAGCACAACAGTTCTTCTTGACAATGGTGTTATATTGTTCTCCCCATTATTATTTGGAGATGGGATGAAATCCTTGAATTCAAATTGCTTCATCCGTAGAGTGATATTTCATTTGGAGACAAGCTTATAATGTAGAGTCTCTTTTGACCCTGCTATTGTTCTCCATTATCATTTCAATCTTTCCATATTTCCCTGGACCACAACTTCTAGCAGTGGTAGTCCCTTAGTCTGCTTTCAGGCATCTATTAATTGTGCTTTGTAACGAACGGCTGATTAATGTAATTTTCTTTTTTATCCTGGGCTGATGGTGGGGAGAGAAATGTGGCCTCTGTTCATTGCCATATCTGACAGATGCATAACTCCTGAAGTCTGCATCCTTTGTTTTTGAAATTTAGATATTCTGAATAATTCTTGCGTAAATTTTTTGACCATTTTTGCACACAGTAAGTAGTTTGAGATGTATGTCATTAAGGGTTATTGCGCACCTTTATCGTGAAGATATATAACTTGAAAACTATGCTTGCATAATTAAGTGTAGAATTATCTTGCCTAAAATATACATAAAGTTTACCCAATGTACAGATTCACAGCCAAACAAGTACACAACTACTCTGAATTAAACATACTGTCCCGTTATTAAATTTATTTCAGCCATAAAATGTTCAGTTATGTAGAAGATATGCGATACACTTTGAATGTAAGATTAAGTAGTAACCCCACATTTTGAACTGAAATTTCCATAGGTACAGGTAGCTAGTTATAATCTTAAACAAACTCCACTGAGTTCAAGATTGTACTTGAAACAAGCAATTCTTACAACAGCAAAATATATTACCCATACCACACTTATACCTTGACTATACAATCTGATATGGTTCTGAGCTTGGTTTTTCATATTTATCCAGCATTTGCTGGATTAGTAAATGACAATTTCATGCACACACAAGATTGATATGCTGTATAATTTGTGTTGTGAAATCGATGTCCTGTGGTTGATTAGCCTTAAAAAATAGGTTTTTCTTCTTTACCTTCTAATGAGTTTCAAGAATTTGTCAAATTTACATTATTAAAGCAAATTAAATACAATCTAGGAAGTTGGGTACCTGTGAAGTTAGGGCTCAATAAATGATGTGATTTATATTCTTGCCATGCCACTCAGAATGAAAATAAACTATAGAATCTCAATCCTACAAGTTGTAAATTTGTTCTAGAGATCCAAAAAATATTAATTTTATCTTTTCCTTAATTTTCCATTTTTTTTTTCCCTCATGATCCTAGCTGATGATAATACTGGACAAGTCAGATTCCAACATAAAACCTGGCTTGATATACCATAGCTCCATTGAACTTTGATTACCATGGCAGTCAGTCCCTGAACATATTCACAAGAGGCTGCCAATGTACTTTTACAAAAGAAGATAAAAGTTTATTACACAAAAAACAGACTACTGTACACTGTAATAACAATTTGAAATGGTTTCACTGCAAGTACTGGAAATAAAGGTATAACTCTTTTAAACCTCAACAACAGCTGTACATGTACTTAAATCTCAGTGAAGGGTCACTGTGTTTCCACTTGGCTCATTATTCAATGGGCACGGCTGTTCTTGGTTTCTTT